TAAACTGTCGTTGTTCTAATTACTTCGTTTAATAATAAAGAATGTAGTGTAGCGCACAGACTTTATAATCATTGTGAAAGTGCTGTTTATGTAGTTATAGGGTTAATGCAGAGAGTAGAAGACCCGGTAGAGAGAGACCAGTTAGTTGGGTGGGGGCGCATGTGATACAGCTGTTCTGCGTTATAATTAAAGGTTAAGACACAGAGCGTCTTTTGTCTGTCATTCTTCAGACATTACAGTAGACATATTTTAATCATTATTTTAAGAACTGATTGGAGCACTATATTATTGTTTTATGTAAAGGTGTATGCTAGGGTATCCAGGTTGTCACAACAAAACCCGCCCAATTGCTACTCAAAACTAGCCCAATCGTGTTTCGAGGGTGGTCCCCCTTTAAAAATCACGTTCTGGCTAAAATTTCAGTCGGGTTTCCCCTGGTAAATTTGCATTCCAGTGCCTAAATATGATGTTATTGGGGGTCGCTACAACCCGCGACATCAAAAACAACCGCGGACTTGGCAACACAGATGGTAGCTCTCGCTAAATTGCTCAAGCGCTCCTCTTTGTGCCAATCACAACAGGCTTGGCCAGCTGACCAATCAGAGCAGAGTAGGCTTATGGAAGGGAGGGGTTTACAGACATTTCACTCAGAACTGAATCAAATGAACCGTTTCGAAATCATGGACAAATGACTCTATGTATAAATGTATATTCTGGGAAAAATACAGTGTTTCCTGACCTTAGATGCATTTAAACCTGTTGTAGGGGACTCCAACACAATATTAGGACACTTTAAAAACCATACGACCTGCTCTTTAAGCTTTTGGGACTATTCGCATATGTCATATTTTGCAGATAAGACTTCTATGTGATATTTATAAAAACAATAAGGGAAAGTTGGATAAGCCGGGCGTGACCCATCTCTCTTTACTTCTGAGCACATGCAGCATACTGTAGAAAGTACTAAAACTGAGCCTGGTTTTACATGGATTAAAAAGTAATAATTATGACATAAAAAGTAAAAATTATCGGAGAAAATACATAATTATGACATTAAAAACATTTTATGTTTTTCAATTTTCACTTTTTATCTGATAATTATGACTTAGTATGTCAAAGTTTCCACTTTTATGTAATAATCATGTCTTTTTATCTAATCATTTTGAGTTTTTGTGTCATAATTATAACACATTGTCATAATTATGATTTACCAAAGCATTTTTTTCCCTTATGTGGCATAAATAGGCTTCCATACAAGGCCAATGTGTCAAAAAAGCAGATTCTGACATCGGTTCTCTCTACAGAAGGGCATTATGAATGGTCTTTGGGGCATTTTGAGTCAAATCAAACCACGATGATGCCAGAATCCTAAAAATATGGGTGAGCTGACCACATGTCTCTTTTCTTTGGATCCAAATACATATACTGTAGAAAGTGCTACAACTGACCCTGGTTTTACATGGATCCTGGTTGGTTCACAAGGTTTGAGGCAATCTATAACTCACACAAGAGCTCAATGCTCTCGTCAGCATCTTTTAGGGAGTCTCTGACCATAATATGCTGGAACTCAATGAGGCAAATCCAATTACAATTGGAGACCGCTGTGATGGCCACGTACTAGAAGACTTCATTAAAAGCACATCTCCCAAATACTCCCAGACACTCCTCCAAAACGTGATTCTCCCTTCGGTGGCTTATATTTGATAGATCAAGGAGCTTCACCAGTGGCCCACATCTTTGGCTTACATGCTCCAACACACATTCCTTTCCAGTGTGACGGAACGATTTAGGTCAACGTCTCAGAAAGCTCATTTCATCCCACACTGCCATCAGATCAAATGTGGGATCAAACAAACAGATGAATCAGAAATCTCTGAGATATGGGGGATAACCCTGTGGGGATTCACCGGAGCAGAAACTCATGTACTTAGGGGATAAACTCATGTGGCCTTCCATGAGTTGGGGGAGTGATTGTTTTCCAAGAAAAACAGCAATATGGAACTTTTTTGTTGAGTACTATGTGATTCTCATGGATCCAGCTATCTCGAAACAGTCCTAATGATGAGTCAAAAGACAAAGGTCAAAATCATTCATACATTGTCCATTCAGTAAATTTTAAACTTTATTTAACACTTTAAAATGTTAATTTATAATAAATCACAAGGCATCCATTACTGTGATGCATAAAAGTATATAAGCATTTAGTCAAATTGCCATCTTAATTAAAAAGAACACCACAACATCTAGCAATGTTCTAGCAATCACCCAGAATATCACAGAGATTTAAGAGGGAACTCTTATTATGCTAGACAGGTAAAACACCATAATGTCAAAGCAACCACATAGCATCGACTCAGAACATCCTAGTATCTACATAGCAACCACCCAGAACACTATAGCAACCACCTAGCAATATCCTGGCAATCACTCAGAATATTAAAGAGATATAAGAGGGAACTCTTTCCATGCTAGACAGGAATAAGACACCATAACACCATAGCAAATGCATTGCATCCACTCAGAACATCCATGCAACTACATTGCAACCACCCAGAACATCATAGCAACAACCTAGCAACACCCTAGAAATGAGGGACTTTTTTTCTGATAGACAGGAAGAAAACAAAATAACATAATACTAATACACTCAGAACACCCTGGTAACTACATAGCAACCACCCAGAAAACCATAGCAACTGTATGGTGACATAATAGTCAGTCAGAGCACCTTAGTAACCACACAGCATAACAACATTTCTATTTTTACTATTTTTATTTTATAGCTGATATTCAATACAGTGGCAATTTATATTTTGTTTGTTGTTTGTATAAAAATGTTCACAGTGGACAGTCTAGATCTGTTTTTGTTTTAACAGATTATAAAGTTATAAAGCATTCAATAAACAAAATGAATAACTGTTTACCACTTTTTAAATCTGACACAGATTCACAGATTATCTGCTTCAAATATTGGCATAACTGGACCGGAGACAATTATTTTTAAAAAATGCTAATATTGGCTGATTACTTAGTTATTACTGTACTGTAAAATCAACCATATGGACTTCTAAAATATTTGATTTGTATTATTGTACAGTAAATCCACTGTATTACCATCACTTCCAAAGGTGTTATTTAAAGGGGAAAAAAACAAAAACTTTTTGGCAGCTGTGCCCTCATGTGACAAAGGGTTTAATGCCTCTCCCATTCTTTAAATAAAAATTAATTAGGAGCGCTGGTGCCATCCCATCCCAGTGGAGATTTCCAGGTCGCTGCATCACGCTGAGCTCTTGTTTTCATTGGTAGGTGCAGCGGAACCTGGAGCCAGGAAGCTAAATGTGGAAAGTGGGTCTTCTGGCCACGGGCCACGGGCCACGGCAGCCATCCACAGTCCTGGCGCCACAACAGGCCTCACCTGTCTGCTCCGTTTGAGTTCTGAAAACTGAGAAACAGTCAAATTGGGAACAGGGAGTTAATTAGTCTCGGCTGCAGACAACATCCCATTGATTTGGTTACCAAGCCTTGTTTGTAAGCCACACCGCCACCATACAGGACACGTGGCTTTCTGAATTTGGCTCGTATGGTGTCTGCTGGGCTTGTTAGTGGAGGAGGATGAAGGGAGTGGGTGGGGTTTCCTGCAGGAAGGAACTCCGCAACTCTGCGGAGAGGCTTATAGCTCCCTGGGGAAGAGTATGCACACACCCTGATCCAGCTCACTCCACCTCACTCTGGCTCCTTTACCTTAGTGTCACCCAATGCTTCCAAGAATTTTCCTCTCACTGGGGTTTCAGGCAACACAGAGCCAGTGTGGAGGTGGAAATGAAGAGTGGACGGTACGTATTGACACAGTGCCAACCTACAGAATGTTTTTTTTTCAGACAGAGAGTCAATGCCTAACTCTGTGTGTGTGTGTGTATGTGTGTATGTGTGGCAGGAGAATTGAGAAAATTTGCTAACCATAATGGTTTTCTATTAAGCTTGAAAATGTGTTTTGCATGAT